TTATCCGGAGGACCCTTGGGAAACAGTGTCTACGAATTTGAACAGTTGCATTTTCATTGGGGTGAGGACGATTACAACGGATCCGAACATTTAATCAACAATCACAGATTTTCGATGGAAATGCATGCCGTCTTTCGCAAGAAAGATTACGAGTCAATGGAGAAAGCTCTTAAGCATAATGACGGTCTGACTGTTTTAGCATGTGTTTTCAAGGTATTAGAAATCATCTTGATTTGAACATTCCAATTGGTGTTCTTATATATACGCAATTAATTAATCTTTTCTTTTTATCATTGTAATTTTTAAGATAATTTTACATATCTTCTTTTCAATAAAATCTCACGCAGGTATGTCAACCGAATCCGACGTATCAACCTATTGTAGAAGTATTACCTGGCATAAAATTGGTGGGGACGGAGCAAGCATTGCAAGAACCTTTATTATTGAGAGATTTAATTCCTAATGATATCCAGAACTTCTTTACTTATTTGGGTTCGTTAACCACTCCAGGTTGTGCCGAGGCGGTTAGGTTTATTATCTTTGCTGAACCTATACCAATAGGAGTAGTGCAGGTTTCTCAATATAATTTGCAAATACTAATTTCTCTCTAATGTTGTAATAGGTTATTTATAAATTGATAATTTTTTGGCACAGATTTTTATTTACTTAAGATTTAAGATTTAATCTGTACCAGAAAATTATCAAATAGAAAATTATAAAATTATCAAGTTTTATATTATGTACATACTACGTATATGTGTGTATCTGCCAATTTGATACATAGAAAGTATAACACATAGATCTTTTGTTTTTTAATTTTAGGTGCAAGAATTTCAAAACATAAAAAATTCCAAAGGTAGAAATGTGACTGATAATTTGCGACCAGTGCAGCCTTTAAATGATCGAGTAATTTACCGAAACATTCCGACAAAGCAACCTTAATATATGTATGAAATGATTATAAAATATTTACAAGATTTATTTAAAATTATATTTATGTTTATTTACAAAATATTTATTAAAACATTTTATAAATATTTTCGTGGTCTTAGATTGGACGGATCATAAAGGTTTATCATAAATATTATAAAAATGTTTATCGTAAATATTGTTGTAAATATTATGAAAATATTTAACAAATTATAATAATAAAGATTTTTAAATAAATTTGGCTTTCTTTAATAAATATGTATGAAATGTTTTTTTAAGTCAAAAATAAGATTAAAAATACACAATAAATTTTTCAGAATATACTTTTGTTTTATTAAGATCATCTCTTTTAATTACATACTGTAATGTAATACAGTTAGTAAAATATTTATATTCATAATATTCATGAAGAAAATAAATTATTCTCATTCAAAATATTCCTATAAAAAACAAAATAAAATACATATATTAAAATAAAAATAAAAGCGTAATAAGATTGCTATGAATTACATGTACGTATGTGTGTTCTGTGTGTACATATGCACGCGCGCGCGCGCGCGCGCGCGCGTGTGTGTGTGTGTGTGTGTGTGTGTGTGTGTGTGTGTGTGCGTGCGTGCGTGCGTGCGTGCGTGCGTGTGCGTGCATGCGTGCGTGCGTGCGTGCGTGTGCGTGCGTGCGTGCGTGCGTGCGTATGTGTGCGCGCGCGCGCGTGCGTGTGTGAAGAACATGCGCGAAGCCTTATCTTCCTCACGTCCTCGCCGTGGGCCTCTCTAGTGCCAAAAAACACTAATGTTCAAATGAGCATAACTATGCAAAAAAAAAATCGTAGAGACCTCAACGACCTCGCGTTCTTCACCTCTGTGAAGTTAGCACCTCATTTTAAAAAAAATAAATTTTTCGATACAGTTCTGAGTGCACCCCAAAGAGTTCCAGAGTTCCTGCATAAAATTA